AGCTCAGGTAGAGAACACAGGAAGTAGCTCTGTCCTAGGGTGACAACACTGCTCCTTCATAGATACACTACAGTACAGTGAGTGAGCGTTGTCACCCTAGGACAGGAAGTATGTTACTGGCAGGATCCCCACGTGACAATAAAGAAAAAAAGAAAATGAAGGCGGGCACCACATCTCAGGGCTGGCAAGCTGCCATATCAGAGGTGTGTCTAGAAACCTCAAGGCCTCAACCCCGACCCCCCCCCGCGCTGCAAGAAACCATGACCCTGAAACCATTATTCCAGTATTCCAAGTGGTGCCCTTCCTGCTGTAGGTTGGCAATGCTCTTTAAATTGGCACCTGATGACCCACCACCCCAGTGCACCCCCCTCACCCACCTTGTGCAGCTTCCACATAGCCCCCCAGTGCCTTGACCTCACGGCTGCCATGCTAGCCCTCCTCCAGGCACTGGTAGCAGACCGGCATCTTGCACTGGACGCAGTACATGCCGCGGGTCTCCAGCTCGTGGTCGGTGCAGGTGGAGATCTTGTGGTGCCTCACCCTGGGGCGGGTGGCAACGCAGGTGGCACGGCTCACAGTAGAAGGTGTCTCAGTGCTCATACATGACCATCGCCTCCCTGGGGCTCTTCTCGCACAGCTGGCTGGCGAGGTTGCCTTGACGCACTCCAGCACCCAGTTCTTGGGGAAGGGTCCCCCCCCCACCAAGTGGCAGAACGCCAAGGCCTGGTCGCACATGCGACTCCTGCGACCCTGGTGGTTCCGCCAGTGTGCCATATATTACATATCACACTTAAGAAGGGGGGATTATGGGGGGATATGATTATCATGTATAGATACATCCAGGGGTGCAACTAGAAATCACAGGGCCCCATAGCAAAATTTTGCATGGGGCCCCGTGATTGCTAGTTATGCCCCTTGCAGAGCCCACCTGATATACCAAACAGCCCACCTGAGAGTGACCCTGCAGAGCCCGCCATAGACTCTCTATAGCGGGCTTTGCAGGGTCTCAGATGGGCTGCACACCTCTTACCTGTCAGCGCTGTCCGCCTCCGTGGTCACCGGGCCCCGCCTCCTCTTCTATCGACGGGCCCCGCCTGCTCTTAGGTCGCTGGCCAGTGGTGTAAGAGGAGGCGGGGGTTGCTCTTAGGAGGGCTCCGCCTCCTCCTTCACTGCGAACGCCGGCCTCTTCTGCCGCAGCTGCTGTGAGGGGAAATCAGTGATCTTCACAGCCACTGCTGAGCTGTGACAGTCAGCACCCTTACATGCCATAGCGACCCAGGCGGACCACACGGCATCAGAAGAATGCCCTGGCCGGGCCACCCTGTGCCCGGGCCCCATAGCGGCCGCCTGGGCCGCTATGGCGATTGTTACGCCACTGGATACATCAATGGTCCATGTAGGGAATTTGGTGCAGAGTCATTCACCGGAAAGGACAAGGGGGCCGATCTTTGAGTCTGGAGGAAAAGAGGTTTAACCTTCACATATGGAAAGGCTTCTTCATGGTAAGAGCTGTGATCTTTGCTCGGAGTAAGCCAGGGTCCACAGCCTGAAAACTGAGAACGTCGAAGGGTTTCTAACCTTCAACACTCGTCCCGGGGCTGTCGGGGTGACAGCCCCGGGACACCGTTGGGTCCACCAGATAATGGCCAGGGTCATGAGGCTGTCATCTGTCATCTACCGGCCTCACCTAATCTTCTGTCTTTACTGTCCCAGCACACGGCTCCCAGTGATGGCCGTTCTATATTTGAGTCTTCCTCAGGCCCATGGCATGTACAGCTGCCCGCTATACTTAGAATCTCCGTCAGGCCGGCAGATTGGGGGGCACGCTGAACAGGACGCTTGTATTACCAGATCCCCAGACGGCCACTTCACGTAACCCGGCATTAACTCCACCACGTCAGGATTACCGGAAACCTTGTCAGCCGGACCCACGCAGGGCTTCAAATAGCTGCCGGGCGCGGCGGCCCTAAACGGCATCAGCCCGACGGGTCAAGGCCAGAGCAGATGCCGAAATGCAGTAGCTCCTGGCAACACTTAAATTGGAACCCTGACCAGCTCCAGCTGAGAAGTGTACAGCAGGGGTGGGCAACTCCGGCCCTTCGGCTATGCTTTCACTACAAATCCCAGCACGTCTCTGCCTCTGGGAGTCGTGCCTGTCACTGTCAGTCTTGCAATGCCCCATGGGACTTGTAGTAAAGGGTTAAAACCCAACTGAGCTCTAAGTTTAAATCGGCTGAATACATTCCACCAAAGCCTGACGTTTGCAGAGTCTTATAGTTCAACTTCCTGCCAGCATGCTTCAGAGAAAGACCTTTGCTCTCTATGGGGAAGCAGCGGTCTCTCTGCAGAGGTCTGAAATCCCCCCCCCCCCCTGCTAAGTCAGAGCTAGAGGTCTTCAATCAACAGGGAACACGAGCTTTGCTGACTGCAGTGCAATAGATCTGACTCAGCAAGGAAGGGGGGTCGGTGTTGAACCTCTGCAGAGAGACCACTGCTTATACACAGAGAGCAATGATTTTTCTATGCAGTATGCTGGCATGGGACAGGCTTTTCCACTCAGGCTTTAGGAAGGAAATGAACTGCAAGACTTTGCACTCCTTTTGTTTTAATGCTCCAGGAATGTATTTAGCTGAATTTCTTTTTTCAATGTTTCCTTTTATTTTCACCTGGTGACTGTCAGCTCCCTCTAGTGGGCATGCTTGGTAATTGTGACTGTCAGCTCCCTCTAGTGGACATGCGTGTTTATTGTGACTGTCAGCTCCCTCTAGTGGGCATGCTTGGTAATTGTGACTGTTAGCTCCCTCTAGTGGACATGCGTGGTTATTGTGACTGTCAGCTCCCTCTAGTGCAGTGGTTCTCAACCTTTCTAGGGCCGGGACCCCTTAGTAACATTTGCCAAGTTGTGGTGACCCCCAACCGTAAAATTTAGGGATGCACCAATACTAGTATCTGTGTGGGCTCTCGGGAGGCAATGCGGGCTCTCAGGTGGCTAGTGGGACTCTCTGTAGGCGTCCAGTGTGGGCTCTGTGGTGATCAAGCACTCACCTCCCCTCACTTCTGCCTGCTCCCCTCTCTCTGATCCTCTCTGGCCACTGCTGCTGCAGCACCATCTAGGAGAACTGACACTGCTGCGCTAGGAGGAGGCTGAGGAACCTCTTACCTGGAGTAGCACAAGGCATGTGGGGACCCCCTCAACTGTGGGTCGCGACCCACAGGTTGAGAACCACTGCTCTAGTGGACATGCTTGGTAATTGTGACTGTTAGCTCCCTCTAGTGGACATGCGTCCACTTGTGACTGTCAGCTCCCTCTAGTGGACATGTGTGGTTATTGTGACTGTCAGCAACAACGTGTCTGCGGCTCCCTTCACTGCTCATGTGTATTTTTTGTGTCTGTGTCATCCTCTAATGCGCTCGTGCAGCCTTGTCTTCAGTCCACCTGCAAATCTCCGCCCACAACTGAGAGATACGGTCATGTGACTCCAGAGGAAAAACTTCACAGAGGTTTATTTTTGCAAAATAACCCTGAATATGGGTGCGACACAAAACTCGACCCCAGAGGTAAGCCCAGCTTGTAAACATGTACGCTGCCAAAAACATTTTTATTTCCGTCCTGAGATTTGCACAGCTCTGCCATAGAGCACAGTCCTGTTTGGTAGGGCAGGAGACCTAATTTGTCTCTGCTGAAGTTCATTAACACTTCTAGGTCTTGCCCCTCCCCCGGCCTGTGATTGGACAGTGATAGGAGAAGCAGCAGACTGATGCGCTCATCTCTCTGACACTCTACCTTCTCCACCTATCAACACGCTTCTCGACAGCACATGACCTCATTTCTTGCTTGTGCCGCTTTTCCCTCCCCCAGTCAGACTGCAAGATGCGGCTGATAACAGATGCAAGTAAACTGTCTGGTGGAATATTGACGGCGTGAGACGTACGATGTCGTGTTCTGGTATAAATCCGGGTTCGGGCTTCTGCGGACACTTTATTTTGTTACATTTTGTTTCTAAGAATAGAATCGTCAGAACTCAAACTCGAACGTTTATACAAATGTTTCCTGTTTGGGACCATGACATGGACTTCAGAACCATTTTATTTTTATAGCGTGCGGGCCCAGAAACTTTTTTTCTTCCCCTGAGCCAACAATATTTTTTCTTTGACCTAAATGACAGAATCTGCCGCTGTGCGGTGTGTCACGAGGGGTTAAATGTAGCCCCCATTTATAATCTGACATGACATGGATTCAGTGGAATCATCCTACTGTTGTATATCATTGCAAACTGATTGAGCGCCATCTACTGGTGGAAAAGGGAACTGCCACCCCAGCGTGCTGCTCCTCCAACATTATCATTATTATTATACAGTCATTATATAGCGCCAACAGTTTGCGCAGCGCTTTACAATATAAGGAAGACATTACAATCACAATACCATTCAAGACAAGATGGTAAGGAGGGCCCCGCCCCTGAGGGCTTACAATCTAAAAGGGAGGGGCAAGTGATACATGAGGAGGTAGCTGTGTGGGGATGAATGGTTTGAGAACGTGATGGTTGAGCGGTTAGGTTGAGGTGGGATAGGCTTCCCCGAAGAGATGAGTCTTAAGGGAACACCTAAAGGCAGAGTGGGAGATAGTCGGACAGGTTGGGGGTAAAGAGTTCCCCAGAATGAGGGAGACTCTAGAGAAGTCCTGGAGGCGAGCATGGGAGGAGTTGACAAGGGACCTAGAGAGCAGGAGGTCTTGGGAGGAGCGTAGGGAATGGTTAGGGCTATGGAGGGCTTTGTAAGTGGTTGTTAATATTTTGAATTTTATCCTTTGGGCGATTGGAAGCCAGTATAGCGATGGGCAGAGAGGGGCAGGGGATGAAAGCCAGTGGAGAGATTGACAGAGGGGGGCGGGGGATGGAAGCCACTGTAGGGATTGACAGAGGGGGGTTGCAGATACTGAGCGGTTGTTTAGGTGGATGAGTCAAACATCAAAGTGATATGAAATTCAAAAGGATTTTAAGCTATTTCAAATGCTGATGAAATCTCTTACAATGGAAGCTGCTCCTGCTCCTGCAGCTGGTCCCCTGAGCACCGGCCCCGATATCCTGTTGTAGGCTCCTTTCCCTTGCAAGGTGCTACGGAGCAGTGGTGTCCCGAGGCCGGGTGTCACCCGGAGCGGATACCAAGTGACACCCCGCCGTCACGTCATGGCACATGCGTGGCCATCTTATTGATACCTGCCGGTGCCATCTTGGTAATGGACACTGGCAGAGAGAGGAGGGGACGTTCACCCGGCCGGGTCCCCTCCTCTCTCCCGCCACTGTTGGGCTCTCTGCCTGACTTTCAAGAGGGGGTGACACCAAAATGACTCAGTCATTTTGGTGTCACCCCCCACTGGTGTCACCGGGGTGCAGGCCGCACCCCCTGCACCCCCCTTGTGACGCCACTGCTACGGAGCCACCCTTGTGTGTGCCTGTAAGCTGTATCCGTCTCCACAAACACACAGGCACAGCAAGGCAAGCAAGTCCCCGGATCCCTGCTCCTCCTCCCTCCCTTCTCCAAGTTGGTAGATGGACGGCTTCTGCAGACTGCTCTGTCCCTGGTGATCTTGTACTGGGCAGGAAGTTCAGGGAAGCTGAGCTGAGAGAGTTGGAGCTGTTTGGGAACATGATGACTGTGGGTGCTGGGATAAAATTTAAATGAAATGCTTTGCCGGACTATGAATATTTATTTGATCTGGAGCGGTGGCAGGGGGGTGACAGGTACCAAGCTTGCAGTCCATGTTCTTGTTCTGCCTGATGAAGGGGTTCCTGGGAGACCCCCGAAATGCTGCACTGAGTGTAAAATTGCTGCATGTAGGTCAATAAATAGAAGTATTTGACGTGCACATGGAGTGCCGGTGTTCATATTCTTATACAGGTTCCAAGCTCGCCCATATTATCTCATTTCCTGCATTCGAGTACAGCTAAGTGACATATTTGGGCTGTGTAGTAG